AAGAGTTAGGCGTGAGTCCTTTCCTGGGGTGGTTGTGGTGACAGGGTTCCCCCTCCAGGTGTTCACAGGGTCAAAGGCCCAGCCCTGGCTGCCAGCCTGACCGCACATGCCCCAGGAGAGCCCCCATCCCTCTGCAGCCGGTCAAGGCATCGGCTATGAACAGAAGCCCTGGGCGTAGGAAACGCCAGCCCCAGGTTAACGTGCAGGGTCCATGAGGAGTGCCCAGCCCCTGGCCTCTCTCTGGTCTGTTTCCCCAGCACCTCCTAGGTGATGCTCACGTGGGTGTTAAACACAGGGGCAGGGGACCTGTCCCCCACCAGGGTGCTCCCTGCAAGCTGCCTCAGGTTCAAGAGCTGATTCACTCTGCTCCGTATCTCCTATCACACGTCGGAATCGGCAGTGCTGTCACCTGTTTACAAACACCCAACAGGCACTGCCTCACGAGCCCCCGCTGCTCTGAACACACTGAGTGACCCACCTCCACCCTGTCAGGCCATGTGCCAAGGCCACCTTTCCACTCCGACCACCTTCCTCCTCCCCTTCCCAGTGCCTGACCCAGAGCAGGTGCTTGGTCACTGGGATGGATGGACGAGGAGGGTGAGTCGTGGGTAGGACCTCTGCCTCCACCCCAAACGCTCTGAGCACCGGGAGCTTTGGTCTCTGGACGAGGGCCAGCCCCAGAGCTGGGAAGGGTGGGGCTGCCGGGCTGTCCTACTCGGGGGCTGATCTGGCCTAGAAACTCGGATGTCTAACCTCAGGTTAAAATTTCAAAGTAAAAAACAGACCCACAGGTGCCCACACGGAGAGACCTCAGGGGCTGCAGCAGGAGCAGAGACCAGGGTGAACTTAAACTGTGTCCTTCACACCCTCGGCCCTAGCCCTCTGTCCAGTGAGGCTCGTTTGTGGCAGCCCGTCTAGAGAACAGGATCTGGCTTGTCTTTTAGCTCCCACAGCCACTGGCCCACCACCGGGAAAGTGAAGAAACTTACCCTCCCAGTTCTGTTTCCGCAGTCTCTTTCCTGGAAAGGCCAAACACAAAGTGCTCCCATCTCGCCTTTTTCTAGAAGGGAGGCCTGAGCACCAAGTTACACAATGACCCAGAGCAGGTTTTGCTCCTGCAGTGCCTCTCAACACCCTGACTAACAGCTGACATCCACTCAGCACATCCTCCATGCCAGCTCCCTGACTCTGCCTCCAGCAACCCTGTGCAACAGGCACTAGTATTACCCCCATTGCACAGGTGTGGAAACTGAGGCACGTCATTTGCTAAGCAAGCACGTGTGTGTGTGTGAACAAGCCCAGAGCAGACCCAGTGGCTCGTGCTAGTTCCCAGCTTCCCGTGGGCACAGAGCAGCCAGTCCTTGGAACCGACGGAGGGAGAGTGTTCAGGCACA